ATGAATGATATTACTCCTAATAAACCTGTAAATAATAATTTACAGGTATATTAAGTTAATTACATATTTCTGTGCATGGACATGACATAATTAATGTATATTATATATATATATATATATATATATATATATATATATATATATATATATATATATATATATACATATATATACGATATATTCACCTTCAATGAGTTTAAGTGACTATTTCTCAAATGCCAATAAGTAAATTCTGTATTTCCTTGCTCCACAAGTCACCGCATTCTTGAAACATTTTCACAGTTCATAGAACTTTTCAATTTTGGAATCTTCATATCCAAAGTTTACATTATAATCATATTCAGATCGTATAATTTTAACATGTTTATGCTTATGCAGACAATATTGCAATATATAACTACCGGTACAAAAGATTTCAATCAAGTCGTATTGATAAGTTTTACTTATGTTTATATTAATGATGGATGTTTATTATTATTCAATTTCTTTCCACATAATTAAATTAATCATTTGATAGCATTGAGATTCGAAGAAATAATTATATAAACAATTGTCTACAAGATCTTCAGATAACCAATATATGAAAATATACATTAAAAATTATATTTTCACAAAATGATCAAAAGATTTTATTTTAAAGAGTGGAAAACCGATTTATTTGTTGCTCCAGGAGCAACAGTAAGTAGATATACTATTACAGTATATAAGATATATTCATATACATATGACAATAATATTTTTTTTAAAGAAATTTTGTATTTTTCATCATGTTATATAAATACATCTTACTATCATCAATGCTAACAATGATGTTCATTAAATATATGAAAAGATTCTATTTGATTCTAATAAATGAGTGCTTTCGAATGTTTCCATGAATTTGAAATATTATTTGGTGTTCATAAATCGGCTCGGCTCAGTTTTAAATTGACAAGAATTATAAAATGGTTTGAGAATAAAAAATTAACTATTAATTTCAGTTTCAACAATTCTATTCAGAATTAATGAAACTTATGAAAACTTATTAATTGTTTGTTAATATTAAATATATTTGGAGGGCATATTCTTATTTCAAGGACAAACAAAAATCATTCGGAAGCATTCACAAATTTAAATATAAAGATATTATACAGATTTGTATAAATATATGTAAAATTTTTTTTCTTTAAGTAGAAGAAAGTATACTTTTTTCATAGAGATCATTGAAATTGATCTTATTTATAAAGATATGTAATTATCTTCTAATTACATAAATGAATTTAAAAATAAATATTTATAAAGCATGCCTGATTAATTACAGTTAAGGCAAGATTAAAATGCAATGCAGCAAAATATATTTGAACCCTAACTGTAATACATTAGTCATAAAAAAGTATTTCTTTTATTATTTAGTATTAAATAAGTAGAAATTATATGTTCACAATTTCATGTATGTATAATATATATATTTATATATATATATATATATATATATATATATATACATATACATATATATATTATATATGCATACAGAAGTATATAAGCAATCAATAGAAAAATTGAGATATTAGCTGCCTTACGCTAGTTCAATATAGTACATTAAAAGATATTTAACTATGTGAATACATGGATGTATACTTTTGATAATATAACTTTAAATCATTATTTAAATCACTTTGTTTACATATATATATTACATAAAAAAATTCTTATAAAATTACAAAACTAAACTAATATCCCTATTAAGACAGCAATAAGGTGCAAATTTTAAAATCTAAGTTCATGCTCAAAATCATATATTGTTTTAGTATTTTTGATTCACTATGCTATCTTAAATCGCATTTCATTTACAAAATATTAATAAAACCAATTATTTAGGTCATTTAAAATTTCTTTTATATATGGATTATATATGGAGCGTCAAATATCTTAGTTACTTCTTTATAAAACAAACTAAAATCCTGCATATATAATAGGACTATTACCATTATTGAAATCATTGAAAATTCATATATCAGATTAGATTAAAAATACGAAAATCAAGACGACAAACTTATGTCATCTTGGAATGATTTTGTTGTAACTAGCACCAGCCCCATAAATAAAAAAAGAGTAATATCTAACGCTTCCATTTTAATTTATGATATCACATTTATCAGCTATCTAATTAATATTATGTTATATATATATATATATATATATATATATATATGTATATATGCATAGGTATATACCAGTATCAATAAGTATAGTAATGGTAATGTATTTACAAAGAATGAATTATTTTTTATCATTAACATTTATGTAAAACCTACACATATGTTTTATTCTAGATGGTCTTAAGACTTCATTTTAATAGCATTTTAAAATAAATTCATAGTAATATGATGTATATTAAAAACCAGTATAATAAAATAACATTACCATATAATCGCTACAAATATATGAATATCTAAAATAATGATGACATTTTTATTCCTTTAGTTAATAAAAATTTACTTCTTAAAAATTCATTTAT